TTCCCCCCCCCCAAAAAAAACAGACACACCACACCCTCGGAGGCCTCATCCACCCTCCTGTTGCCATAACCCAGCAGTTACCTCAGGAAACAGTCATTGACCGCGCCCTCTTGCCTATCAAACCAAGTAGAGCAATTGATCGGATGCTTACTGCCTATTCTTCCCAACAGTCTGATGGCACATGGACTGCAGACTATGAGATGCTTTTGGCATCTCTTCAGCCGCAAGTTGTTGACTGTGTTTCTCTTTACAGTGCTGAAGTAGCTAATTCACAAAGACGGGCAACCCTTGAGTCCACCATCTTGCAACAGAGTTCGAATCCTCAACTCGTTGATCAACATTTACGCGCATTGTACCATTCCCCTGGCTGCTTCTATTCATGCATGGACATGACTGCCTCAAAACATACGGCGGATTGTTCTCGATTGAGGCAGAGAGCTCTCATTTCAAAACAACTAGCCACAGCTGGGCTATTCTGTAGGCAGCTGTACTGCCCAGTTCAATGTTTCGCCTGCACCCATTGGAACAACCTTACCATCCCCAAATGCATACGTTTCCGGTACAACCCATGGCTCTTTGACAAGTGTAATTTGCTTGGTGTTTCGTGGCAGCCCATAGAAGTCTGGGCCATTGAAGCTTGCGAATGCTTCAAGCATGTGGAGTGCACCTGCCTGTTCAAATGCATGCGCATACAGGCTCAACGCAGCATGTGCGCTATAAATTCCAGCACAACCACATGAACTCTCCTTTGTCTGGCGCTCATGTGGTGCACTATCGGTTCCAAGGAAAAACTGACGAGAACCGCTGGTCACAACTTCAATCAGTCTTCTCCTGTGTGACTCCCTCTTCAGAACAGGCAAGCAGTAGTTGTGTGGTCGCAGCCCTCCGGTGAAGATGGCATTCCGGTTCAATAGCAAATGTTGTGGCGTTACCGTTGCAGCAACCATTCCCTCTGGGAACGACTCGACGAAATCAACTGCATCGGAAGTTGTGACATGCTCCATGACAACTCGCAGCTTTGGCAGCTTCTTTAGGAGAGGGTCCAGCACCCTCTCTATGAAAACACGCTCCCGATCAAAGACATCTACGGAAGCATCAGTCACCTCCCCATGGACGAGCAATGGGAGCCCCACTTCCACCATGCGTTCCAACGCAGGCATGCATCGATTGACATTGGAGACCCCTTGATCTGAATTTGTTGTGGCCCCTGCAGGATACAGCTTGATGGCATGGACAACAGCACTTTGCTTAGCCTTCTGAATCTCTTCCGGAGTTGTGTTATCAGTGAGGTAGAGAGTCATTAATGGCTCGAAGTTGGAGCCTACTGGGAGTGCTGCCAAAATGCGATCACGATACTGAGTCGCCATATCAGTAGTGGTCACTGGCGGCCGAAGATTGGGCATGATTATGGCACGTGCGAACTGTTCAGTACTGTGTTTGGCCACCGATGCGATAAATGATCCATCCCTCAGATGAAGATGCCAGTCGTCCGGTTGTGTTATCGACAGCGTTTGACGCTGCTCGGTCTCCGAACTAGAAGATCTCAACTCCTCGTCCTGCTTTAAACTGGTGGTTGCTGCCACAGGGTGGCCGCTGCTAGCAAAGCAAGCTGTTGAAGAGCATCGTCTTGCTCTCCTATATCCTGCTTGCCTCATGCCAGATGCCCTCCCCATCCTCCCTCTCCCTGCAAGTGAGGACCACCACCACATGCCACTGAAAAGTCAATGCGACTGCCTTGGCAGTTTGTGGGGTGACGGGGATGAGCGGAGGCTGTGCGCACAACCAATCACTGTTTGTTTGTCATCATTATGCTGCTCTGACTGAGCCTTCATCACCATCTACACAACAGATCAACAAGAAGTAACTAATCAACTTGCTCACCCGATCAACCTGCTTCATCTCCGCACCACTCTGGGATGCTGGCTGAAAACATACAGCGTTTTCACACATGCTGGTTGAAAGCATACGGTGTTTTCACACACATGACCACACCGATCGAATTTGATGCTGAATAGCGCCACACACTTCCAACTGCAAAACTTGTGAGTGAATAACCTGAGGTGTGGCATGCCTTCAAGAAGAATGAACAATTGACTCTGAATTCCGCTCCACCCTCAGGTGCCCAAATTGCACAAACCAACAGCCACCTCAGAAAGCGATCGGATCAAGAGCTCCACATATGAACGGTCCAACCACCATCTAGAATGGCTAGCAGCACAGTGTGAGAAGAATACCACTGCGAGCGTCAAAAGTTGATTGGCAGAGGACAGTCTGATAACATTGAAAACTCTACAAGCAGAAGGTATCACAACAATAATAACCAAGACACACACAGAACTACACTAGCACAGAATTACGTATTCGAGTCTGCCAGGGACACCTCCAATGACCAAAATAAAAGACCACATGGCTTGCAGCAATGGCAACCAGCTGATACGCAGTGCTTGCCCTGACTAACAACACTAAATAAAGCCACGAGGCTTCAGCCCATGGTCAACACCATCCCATCCCATGAGTAGGACCCAGAACCCCTTCTCATAACTGAAACGGTATTCACCAATTCGTGGTAGCTGAGGTAGATCCCAGGGCTCGATCCCTAGTTCCCCAACTTACCTGTGTACAATACCTGCGTCAACTCGAAGAGTTGAACCTGCGACCTATAGAACCGCCAGTGGTAGGTAGGTCTGTCGTAGG